TGTGTCTAACGAGCCATTGTAGAAATCAATCATGAAAAAGTTGTTGAGTAAATTTAATTATTTTCCTGAGAAAATTTGAAGCGTTGTGTCTTGATGATATAATCGTGGACGGATTCAACTATTTTCTGGTTAACACAAGGAGTAAATTCTTTGTTTCCATTCAAAATAGTATCCAGGTTATATCCGGTAGTGTAAAAATACATATTAAATCTTATTTGAGTATAGTTACCGCAAGTTAGGAAATAGTGTAGGGCGTTTTCACTCTGATATACACAAGAACAACATGGGTTGTCTATTAAAGATCACATATACTCTAAGGAGGTACAAATACATAAGTCACTAATTGGCATCGTTATAAATGAAACCCCGTCATTAAAACTACTCATTTCGATCTTTAATTAACTTAAATCGACCTTTTTGACAACAGTGCACAATTCTCGCCGGCGAACGAAATTTCAAACAATCAGAGCGGCGCGTCTCTTTGGCGTCAGATGGCCTTACAAGGTTCTTTTGAAAGTTGTCCAAATGTTTTATTTTGTGTGATTTTGACACGACCCCTACCTGCTTCGCATCACCCTCACGATGTTTGTGTTCCAGAACATTTGTCAGTACCCTTGCTGATACTCCTAAAGCTTTTGCTGCCCGCTTACGGAATTTATTAATGGCATAAAATGGTTTGCCCCTTTCGGCTTCAGCACAGAAAAAATCGTACACTATAATCATCAGCTGTTTCACGTCAGCATTCAACTTCATTTTTCATCAGGCATGTGTATCCCGTGCACGACGAGATAGTGGCTGTTCCGTTTCTGCGGTTTCACCCCACCGCGACAGATAACTTTTGCGTTTTCAATGATGATAGTTTCTTAAAGAATTTTTTTGGTGGAGTCCGGAAAATTTTCAAATATAAGAAAGTTGTTGGGTATTAGTAAATGATAAACATGTTTACTCTTTACATATATGTGGCAATTTTGTACAATGATAACATTTGCAATTCATGGGTCCGTTTCTGACTCAAACGGACTGTATATTCCTTTCATATTTGGTACCTAGGTTCATCACAGTATAAGAAAGATCCAAGTCAGGATTGGTGACCTTGACCTTCATTGCAAGGGCTCAAGGGGACTTTAACGTTTTGCCTGCATGTTAAGCTACCTCAAGAACCGTTTACTGGATTTTCTTCATATTCTATACCAAGCTTTGGCTAGAGAAGGCTCAGGGCCCATACGATTTTGGTGACCTTCACATAATGTTCAAGGTCATGGCGACACTTTGAAGATTTCAGTATGTTAGCCCGCATGTTAAGTTATCTTAAGAACCGTATACTGGATTTTCTTCATATTTGACACCAAGCTCCATACAGGGAAGGCGCAGGGCCCCGTCGATTTTGGTGACCTTCACTTTATTTTCAAGGTCACAGACACTTTGGGGATTTCAGCATGTTAAATTGCATGATAAGATCGTTAGTTAGTTAGATCGCAACAAATATTCACTGGATTTTCTTCATATGTGACACCAAGCTTCATCTAGGGAAGGCCCAGGGCTCAGTCAATTTTGGTGACCTTCACATAATTTTCAGGGTCACGACGACACTTTGAAGATTTCAGCATGTTAACCTGAATTGTCAGCAAGATATTTCAAGACCGGTTCACTGGATTTTCTTCATAGACTTTCAAGACTTCCCTTGAATGTTTTTCAATAAGCAATTTCTTTAGTACTATTTTGCATATTTCATACACTATGACATTCATGTCAAGGTCAAAGTCAGTTTTGAAAATATGTGTGTTTTTGAACAACTAAAGAGCAAGATATCAAGAGAGGTTGACTGGTCATGTTTTTGTTGACATTTAACTTCATCTTAAACTTTCATTACTTTATAAGTTTGATTTGATAGTTTGCGGCGGGGGATTATGTCACCTTAGTGACAATGCTTGTTTATCTGTAAACCATTGTCATACAGCCATGCACAATGAGGACTGGGAGCCTGAAAGTATGGTGTAACAGCAACTAAGAAGATGATGTTGCACACAGAGAGCTATTATGAATCTATGATGTACGCACTTGGGCAGAAACCCTCCATTCAATATATCACAATATATATTGCAATATCTCTTAAATTATAGCAATATATCGCAATATGAGAATCAGGGCAATATCCAGCCCTAATAAAAATATATTGGACATCTATATACAACTTCTAAATGCCGCTAAAAGACATTATATTTCACTTATTCAGACAGACTGACATATTTATTTGTACATGTGGCCCTGAGGCCAATAGTACATGTGTACAATAATAACAGTGCATTTATGCGCAACCTGTAAATACGTGAGTTATAGGAACATCAATAAATCCATAAACACCCTTTCACAATTTACATTTTTTCTCTCAACATAAGTATGTGGTACAACACAAGGGCTAGCTTAAACAACAAGTCAATATTTTCTGTGCGAAGTAGCATACAATTTTTTTGTCTCGACGGTTGGTTATAGAAAATATATTATGTATCTGTAGTTTTGTGTGAGTGTGTGTATGTGGCTGTTGGTGTGTGCGGTTTGGTTATAAGGGTGTGTGTTATAAGTGGGTTATAAGTGGATATGATTATGGATATGGTTGTGGGTGTGTACTTGTATGTATTGGTACGAGTGAGGCTGTGGGTATATGTGTTTGTATGTGTGGGTCTGAATGTGTTGTGGGTGTATGTATTTTTGCTCATGATGGTACGACATGTGGATACGACTGTGGATGTGGACGTGTGTGTTTGTATGTGTTGGCATGACTGTGGTTGTGGGTGTATGTATTTGTATTGTAAGCAGTGTATGAAATAAGCCAAAAATCCAACCAGACATCAAGGCTGGTAATTTCAAAATGTTACCAGCCCAAAATGGACTTAACCAGACCAAATATGGTGAATTTACTCAGATGTATGGAACATCTAAAATGTTTACCAGACCATCGGGCTAGCTAGCTGTAAATTTAGACCGTCCGTCAGAAATTTAGCCCGTCTCGGGCGGTCGGACGGGCCGTATTTCATACACTGCAGTGTAAGTATTAGTGGTGAATCTGAAAACGAATGCAGAAAGATAATACCTGTGCACGTGTATCTTTGTGTGAGCGTCTCTGTGTTTACCACTGATACTATGGGTGCATGTGTGTGTGTGTGAGTGTGGGTGTGCCATGTTTTGTTTCAACTGTATAATTTTATGTAATTTATTTTAATCATTCTGTCCATCTCACGTATTTTAATGCTCTTTAAGTCTATAATAGCCTTCTGGCGGCTTGTGCATGCACAGCGCTATAACTTTATGTATACATTATATGTATGTACAAGATGAGACTAAAATAAACAAACAACTACTACTACATAATCTAACATTATTTACATAAAAGTCTATAGCACTACAAATGACCCTTTTCTTTTGAATATGATTGATCATTTCACTTAAATTAAATAACTTTATCATATCTTTGCATACATTCTCGCAATTTACCTAACTTAGTTCTCTCTAATATGCTGATATCATGACATCAAAACAGCTACTACATTTTAAACTGAGTTTATTTGCCCTCAACGATTCTTTGTAAATTGTCACATATTATCTTTTCAATATTGCCCTACTCGTAGAATTCCATTATGTTTTGCACACAGTGTACGTCACTATCTATGATATTGTATTATTGCTATGGAGCGGCATTGATATAAGCATGTTTATGCTTGTTTGCCAATCCCGCCATGATTACTGAAATAAATATGTTTAAACCATACATTAAAATGTACATAGTATCAATATGTATTAAAGTAATCCTTATATCAGGCTATGAGGAATACACAATATAATTAAGATTGATGATGCTTTTACTTTGTTATCTTTTTAAAACATGATCGTCTTTTACAGTCGAAAAGAATTACCTTGACTTCGTTGTGTAGAGGTCCATGCTTATGGTCTCCAATAATTTTAGAATTTATGTCGTTCACAGTTGAGACTGTTGATCTGCAGTCTTTCTGAAGGCATTTTCCACTACATCAATTCTCCCTTTTCCTCTTTTTTTTGGGCAAAAGTATCATCCACCACGAAAAGTAGGAAGAAACTTGAAGTCTAATTGTGCATTTGCCATAACCGAAGTAGTTGAAATGATGATGAAAACTGTCATTTCCAACATTCTTATAGAATTCAAGATGATGTAAGGAATTGAATAACTCACTACTGATGGATTGAGTGAACCAAATGTTCATTATATTAATCAAAGTCATTGAGTGGACTCGCTCACTTAATCCAAGTCATTGAGTGAAGTTACTCACTAACATGGATTCACTCACATATTGTTACATGTGTCTTATTTCGTTTCCTGAATCACCACATTTTACATTTTGTAGTAAACCAGTGTTTTAATCCCTTAAAAAACATCGTTGTCGCAACATCAAGGGATTTTTCCCTACACCAAAAGGTCTAACATACGGACTATATAGCTTCCGCAGTGTTTCTTCGACTATACAAAACAAAACGTTTACTTGCAACCTGTAACAGTTCTCGTTTACAAAATACTGGACTGTGGAACTAAAGTCACTAACGTTATGGTCAGTGTTGGAATAAGAATTGGATTTATTACAATCAGAAATGCTAGGGGAGAGCACAATTTCATAAAGCCCGTATGCCTCTTAATCGATCTTTACCGTTATTAGGAGTCGTACTGTTCGGAGTATTACTAAAGTCGCACCTCAAGGGAATTATTTAAGTGATTATGATTATGGATCATGGCCATCGTATGGTTTATAGCATAAAGGGTGAATGCAATAAACTGTATATCATGTTATGGTTACATTTAAGGACGGGTAATAAAACAAAAACACTGCTTGTGACGATGAAGGACCGATTACCTTTTCCGTAGGAAGGATAATCCGTCCTTCCCTGCCACTCGCGAATTATTGTTATCCCAAACATCTGCATATTCCCTATCTTTACTTTCGTAGGACTGTCAATATAAACAATATAGTTATCGTATACTCATAAATACTACTTTAAAACAAATTTCATTCTCAAACATACATGTTTATGCCTCCATGTAGGTGCAACAACGAAAAGTAAAGCATGCTATGGACAGAATGGTCTCCCATGCGCTCAGCATAACATCAGCTGCAGCAGCAACAAGAAGATCGCCATCTATGACGCCTACTACACCGACAATGTAGCGTGTACACTGGTAGGTATCTCTAACTGCGTCACCGTGATTCCGGACAATTTGACAGAACATGGATATCACAGGTTCAACAACAACGAGATGATGTCCCTCTACAAGAACTGTTCAACAGCGACTCGGTGTGTGTATCATGCTCCCCGACGGCTGCCTGGTCGTGCATTTTCTGTTGTGAAATATCACTGCATTGACAGTAAGTATGTTTTGATGTTTACGTATTCAGTCAAACCGGTTGGTTTCGATGAAAAGGTTATATTTTCCTCTAGCACGTGTTTTGTCACATATGGCACTGACATTGATATTAATTGCAAATTATGAGCTGACTGTTAGGGAAGCCTGAGAGCGTCAAAACGATAAATGAAGACAGAAAGCCAGTATGGAATTCAAAAGGGCGCAGTGAGGATGGCGAGGACGGGAAACCGCACCGAAGCATGGAAGCCCACACGGGCTAGCGAAGCATTTGCAGACCCGCACGGGTGTGCACAAGTTGGTCCGCCGTGTCATGGCAGCCCAACTGCTGGGAAAACTCAACACTCCCCCCGCGGAAGCAGCAGGTGGGAGCTTTGGGCTCCCGCTGTAACAGCGGGTACCGAGTATCCAGGTAGAGCAAGCAAGCAAGCTGTAATTTAGAGGTGCGGAGTCCCGCCGGTACCATGCCACACTGTACCAGTTTATTTACAACAGTGAAAAGATACAAAGAAACCGACCTGACAAGATCTTACCGCGCAAAGTCTTACTGGGTGGATACCGCCTGATTGGGTGAGGGGCACCGACTGCAAGCAAAAGCAAATTAAGAAACAAATGAAAGCAACATATAGTGATATAGATTTTCCATCGCATACGCACTCTTTCAACCATATTGCGATCAAACAAGTGAAAACGGGTAAGGTAACATTATTAATGATAACAAAATCATTGCGGAAGCGCTGTGAAAGGGATGGGGACGGGAGGGTGGAAACGGACTTTTATGCAGCAGGTAGCGTGAGCATGTGAAGTGCTATTAAAAGTGTGACGTAATGCCAGCGGATATTACGTGTCTCTAAGCTTAGCTGCACGTGAGGCAAGTTGGTGACGTAAGCGGAAGTGAATCCAAGCGCGGGAATAAGATGGTGGACGAAATCAAAACAATGGAGAGGTTAGAAATTGAACGAAATGGTAACACAGCCCATAACACCATTTAGCTAAATATTGCTAAATGTCATTATGAAACTGACTGTTAGGGAAGCCTGAGCGTCCAAACGATAAATGAAGACAGAAAGCCAGTATGGAATTCAAATGGGCGCAGTGAGGGATGGCGAGGACGGAAACCGCACCGAAGCATGGAAAAGCCACACGGGCTAGCAGAAGCATTGCAGACCCGCACGGGTGTGCACAAAGTTGATCCGCCGTGTCATGGCAGCCCAACTGCTGGGAAAACTCAACACTCCCCGCGGAAGCAGCAGGTGGGAGCTTTGGGCTCCCGCTGTAACAGCGGTACCGAGTATCAGGTAGAGCAAGCAAGCAAGCTGTAATTTAGAGGTGCGAGTCCCGCCGGTACCATACCAAACAGCCCCGCGCCACGGATGGGTGAGGGCTGCAGAAGCGGCGTGGCTGCGCCATCCACGCACTGCATAATGTGCTGCAGCGTATGCATGGTGTGTGTGTGCAGGGGGCAAGAGGGGAAGGAGGGGTGGTGTTGGGAAGAGACAAAGGAAGGGAGACGATGCGCAATACCAACAATTGCTAATGACATTTCAGAATGAAACAGGTTCTACGCCACACTCAGACAGATTCCAGCTTTGTGGCGGCCATCAGCAAATAATGAGTGGGTTTAGTCTTACGCCACACTCAGCGATATTCCAGCTATCTGGTGGCGGCCGGTAATTAATCGAGTCTGGGCCAGACAATCCCGTGATCCGAAGCATGTGCATCCGTCTGGGTACCCAATGGCATGGCTCAACCAAGTCAGCGAGCCTGACCCACTGAACCCGTTAGTCGCCACTTTCGACAAGCACGGGATACTAAAGGCACTTTCTATCCCGGATCTTCATGAGACCAGACAATCCTTCTGAAAGACAGTGCAACCACGATCTACACGCATGGCCTACGATGACGTGTGTCGGGCAAATGAGTGAGTGTAACCACCTGAACCTAGTAGTCGCCTCAAACAACAAGCATGGGTTACTGCATACAAACCGAACCTTGGTCTTAATTAGAAATAATTTCGTTAGCGCCTCGCTCAGCAATATTGCAGCTAACCTGAGGTAGTCCGTGCAACCTGTTATCGCTGATAATGGCAAGCACAGGCTAATACTAAAACCGGCCTGCGTCACGTAGGTGAGCTGAAATGATGTGACACAGAAATGACCATTTTTTGGTTAATGCCTGCACCGCGTGACGGGACACGTACACCGCAGGGAATTTAGGCGATAATCAATGGACAATTACGACATTAAGGCCTGATTTCAGGTAACAACCCGAACCCTAATAGTAGCCTCCAACGACAAGCATGGGTTACTGCATACAAACCGAACCTGGGACTAATTAGAAATAATTTCGTTAGCGCCTCGCTCAGCAATATTGCAGCTAAAATGAGATGGTCCAAGAGAAGAAGTATGGACCAGCGCCGCTATAGTCCTGCTACCTGCTATCGCCGATGATGGCAAGACAGGCTAATGCGAGGCTACTACTGAAACTGGCCTACATCACGTAGGTGAGCTGAAATGAATTTGACACAGAAATGACCATTTTTGGTTAATACCTGCACCGCGTGACGGACTCGCATACCGCGCCAGGAATTTAGGCGATAATCAATGGACAATTACGACATTAAGGCCTGATTTGGGGTAACCACCTGCACCTAATAGTAACCTCTAACAACAAGCATGGGTTACAGCATAAAGCCGAACCTGGGTCTTAATTAGAAATAATTTCGTTAGCCGCCTCGCTCAGCAATATTGCAGCTAACCTGAGGTGGTCCGTCGCGAAGAAATACGGACCAGTGCCGCTATAATCGAGCTACCTGTTATCGCTGATGATGGCAAGCACAGGCTAATGCAGGCTACTACTGAAACCGGCCTGCATCACGATGAGCTGAAATGAGGTGTCACAGAGATGACCATTTTGGTTAATGCCTGCACCGCGTGACGGACTCATACACTGCGGGAATTTAGGCGATAATCCATGAACAATTATGACATTACGGCCTGATTCAGGGAGTGAAAAGAAAACTTCGCATGCCCTGCCCGTTCAGATGAACCTTGTCTCTGGCACTGATGTGGGTGTCAGTGATGTCCGGGTGCCGAGCCACTTTCCCACCTAGTTCCCGGACGACATTGGCAACGCGCCTGTTGAGTTTGCGCCGCTTAATGTCGATGGCCCGCGGGTTCTGGGCCCCCCTCCATGCTAGCCTGGGCAGCATACATGACCATATGATGGTAGCTTTTGGGCACCTCAGATGCAGGTAAAGCAAGTCAAGGTATATAGCATCAAAAAGCGGCTTAGATGCGGTAGCGCAGAGGTCATTAGAACCCAAGTGGATGACCACGAATTTTGGCTGCGCCTCCTGTTCGATAAGCCTATCAATATAGGTCCTGAACTGGGCCCATCTCATCCCTCCTTTTACCAGCCACTTCCCACTGACTGGAAACTGCTGACCTGTCTCTGTATGGTGAAGGAGCCGGGCCAAGTAGCTAGACCCGATGAACCAGGCTGCATCTGAAACTCGTGGCGATAGTTGTGGGATTTTTGCATAACATTTGGCCTAACACATTTAAAGATCATAGGATGGATGGTATGCGGATGTATGTCTGGTAAGCCGCCGACTTCCAACGCCCCAGTTCCTGGATCTGTTGTGAACTGACGCCCTGTAATGCTGCTGTGGTGGCTGCCCCAATGCGAAATGAATGTGAGGAAGTACAAACTAGGGTTAATGGGCTCCGGGATTGACGCCAAAGCCTTTTTGAGCACCGCCTGAAACTGAAATTTTGTTAGTGGGGAGCTATCAAAATGAGTGAAAAAATACCCCGTACCAGTAGGTCTGATGCAGCGGAAACGCTGCACTGCTGCGACAGGACATAATGAGGAGTTCGGCAATGCCTGGATGGTGATGTATGCTCCCAGACCACCCTGATCTGTTTTGGAGCTCCGCAAATGTACCTGTATAGCTGATAAGTCACCTGCGACGGTTATATCTGAAAACAGGCAAGCTCTGTTAGTGCTGTCCCTTGCTGAGGCTGCTACCAGCTCGCCCACTCTGAAAAAACCAAAGAAAGTCAACAAATATGCAGCGGCAAACAGCGCTGCCTCGTAGGACTGGCTGCAGACCAAAGGCAAGGCACGAATGATCTCTGCAAGAAGGTGAGTTGTTATTGGTTGTCGGGTGTCCTGTCGATGAGACAATCTAGACATACCTGAAAGAGCTTTCTGAACAAGGAAGTGGTGTGACACATCGCACATATTATGCAATTTGTGGAGTGCTGCCAGCCCCGATACGTATGACCTGGCTGTGGCAGGCGACCTACCTGACACCGATAAATAAGCAATAAACTGTAGCCATTGGTCCAACGGTATAGGCCAAAGAGACGGTAAACCAAATGCAGCGCGGAATTGATCAAACGCTGTTTTGCCCGCCTGATAAGTGCGCCATGTACTTGGTGCCAATGATGAAGTGATGAGACGGTTAACCTCAGACATCAGATGTCCCACATGTCGTTGGGAGTGGGGGTTGGTACCTTGTCCGCATGAGGCGCTGCTGACCTGAATCGTGCCCACTGAAATCTCGAAAGAGAATCTGCTATAATGTTAGCGTGGGTGTCAATATATTTCGCTTTGAACAGAATGTTGTGTCTGAGACATAAAAGCACCAAGCATCTAAGGAGTGACATGACCCGTGGAGGCTTTGCTGTCTGACGGTTTATTATATGGACCACAGCCTGATTATCACAAAAGAACATTATCCGGCTGTTGGAGAGAACAGAGCCCCACAACTTAATGGCGAGAACGATAGGGAAAAGTTCGAGCATGGTTAAATCCTTCATCCATCCCTTTTCATGCCACTGTGCTGGCCAGCGGCCGTTAGTCCAATGGCCCTGAAAGTAAGCACCGAATCCCTGGCTGCTGGCTGCATCTGTAAAGAGTTGTGCCTCCTGCGAGTTTGACCATCGAGGGTGCAAGAATAAAGTGGTGCCATTATGACTAGCAAGAAATTGAAGCCATACTTTTAAGTCAGCCCGGATACCCTGTGTAATTCTGATTCTATGGTGCGGCTGAGAACACCCTTTTTGGGCATCGATGAGGCGCCGAATAAATGGCCGTCCCATGGGTATAGCCTTACAAACAAAGTTGAGTTTACCAACAATTGATTGTAAGTTGCGCAATGTCACTTTTTTTTGTTGTGTGCTGTCAAAATGTGATTGAGCTGTTGTGTCAGCTGTTCTACCTTATCCTGTGGCAGCCTAATTTCGCCTTTAGCTGTATCGATGGTTAAGCCCAAATATGTTAAGCATGTTGAAGGGTGAACTGTTTTGTCCGAGGCCACTGGAATGCCCAAGTGATTGAATAGCTGCAATGATGATGTGAGTAAATGCTCACAATTTTGGCTGGTTTGGTCAGCCAGGATGAAATCGTCAAGGTAGTGGCTAACATTGTTGCTGCTGGTGTATTTCCTAATAGCCCATTCCAAAAAGGTACTAAATTTTTCAAAAAGAGCACAAGAAATTGCGCAACCAAAAGGGAGGCATTTGTCAATGTAGAATTGGTGTTGAAAGTGCATGCCAAGGAGAAAGAATTGACTAGGTGATACAGGTAGAAGCCGAAAGGCTGATTTTATGTCAAATTTGGCCATGTATGCATTTTTACCTAAGGCTTGTACCATGGCGACTGCCTGGTCGAAGCTGTTATACTGTACTGTGCAGAATTCTTGCGGAATGAAATCATTGACTGACTGGCCTGATGGATAAGATAGGTGATGAATGAGGCGGAAGGCAGCCTCTGTGTTTGATGTGGATTGTGTTTTCTTGGGAACCAGGCCAAGTGGGGAAACTATAAGGGTCTGTAGAGGGGGTGACGAGAATGGTCCAGCAATGCGACCTGCTTCTATTTCCTTTGTCAGCTTATGCAAGATGATATGAGGATTAGCGTTAGCAGAAGATAAATTTCGTGCATCCCGTGGACCGGGTGGGCCTATATATTGTAAGCTGAAGCCTTGGTTAAAACCTGCCTGAAGTATAGTACTGTCATTTGAATTAATGTGTTGATAAGAAATTAGCCATGGGGTGAGGTTGCAGACTTTGATTGGTGAGGGTGCTAGTTCAAGATTGGCGTATGTTGCTGATGGGGTTACTGTTAGCATGCGCTGGAAATGTGCCATGTTTGGGCCTGGAGCCTTTATGCTGAAAGCAGCTACTGGCTCCGTGTCCCCTGCTGTCGCATGACTGGCACTTGTGCACATAGTTGCAGTTCTGCCTTCGGCAACCCTGCTTGTTGAAATCCCAACATACGGGTGCAGCAGTGTAGGCACGCTGGTTATGGTTCTGATTATTGCTAGGGGATCTGTTGGCAGATTGCGGGGGTTGACGCTGGTTGGGGAGCATTAACGCAAGCCACAGCTGGCCGTCAATGGTGCCCCAAGGCCGTGTAGGGTTACGCTCCATGCGTTGTCGGAATTGAATGTCGTACTGTGCCCAACAATCCCCCCCGAAGCGTGCTGCTGCCCCCCTTACCGTCTCCATGTATGCAAGCAAATGCTGCACAGTGTTCGTATCCTGGTGCTTTTCAACATAAATACTTATAAAGGTATTGAAAGCTGACGTCCACTGGCCTATGGTCAGAGGCCGTGAGGGTTGCTGCTTCGACCTAAATACCACCTGACCGGAGCTGTCCAGCTCCATAGAAAAATTAACGGCTTCCTGTGACGCCTCTTTTTGGGGTGGCAGCAATTGGCGCAGGTCTACGAATTCCCCCCTTATATATTTTGTCCCGTATAGACGCTCTAACATGGGAGCCAAGGTGCTCGGTTTGCACATGGAGCTGCTGGTAGCCGGCGTTGGGGGGAAAGGAACGCTGCTGGAGCGTATCGGGGTAGCCAGTGGGCTGGACAGTTGGCTGCAGATCTAGGTTATGACCAAGAGAGTGAACACGTGAATGAGCGGGATATGGAGCGCGTGGGGAGGGAGGTGAAACATCAGGGAGTAACACACCCGGCTGAATAAGTATACTATTGGCAGCATTAGTAAACGACCTACCTGTCTCTGTATCATCCCGGCTGGTCCCTGGAGCTGGCGCTGTGCTGACTGTCAGCGGCACCCTGGGGGGTGTTGTCACCTCGCAAATCCCGCGAAGCGCTCAAGCGAGCAGCTTTTGCTCTCCCCGACACAAGACGGTGATTCAGAGCTGATTTGCGCTTTGGAGGCATATTAAGTAGATGAGGGTCGAACTTCTGTAGAGCGGTGCAAATAAACGGACTTTTTATGCAGCAGGTAGCGTGAGCATGTGAAGTGCTATTAAAAAGTGTGACGTAATGCCGGCGGATATTACGTGTCTCTAAGCTTAGCTGCACGTGAGGCAAGTTGGTGACGTAAGCGGAAGTGAATCCAAGCGCGGGAATAAGATGGTGGACGAAATCAAAACAATGGAGAGGTTAGAAATTGGAACGAAATGGTAACGCAGCCCATAACACCATTTAGCTAAATATTGCTAAATGTCATTATGCAACAATCTGTGCACTGAATACTGAATCATACGCTTCCTAAAGTGTGTGTGATGATCCAATTCAAGGGTGTGTGAACAGTTCCTGATAAATTAGAAGCAGTGCCAGAAATAAAGGTGTTCACTTTGTGACTTCTTTCTTATTCTATAAAAATACGTGGCCGTAGGTTCGTATACCGGTCCTATATTAACACAAAAGTTATAAACGTCTCATACTTACACCGCGGGCTTCCGGCCTCATCAAGCCTACAATCCGTGATATAGCTGGGATCTTGTTCAATGTGTAGTTACACCAAACTCACTCACTCGCTCCATCACACCACAATAAATCTCGAGACAACTGAACGCACCAGAACGAGAACGTGTCAGGTTCTGTTATATTATTGAACTTTAGACGTCGGGAGGGAAAACAGTGCAGTCACAGATGCTTAAGTAATGGAAAGTTACTCGGATAAGTTTATGCCTTAATTATATTCTGACGACAATTTCACTTAGTATAATGTCGTTTGATGCATGTCATGTATTCTCTAAGTACAATCTTGTGTTCCGTTCTTAGTAACGTGTCACATCGTAGGAAACAAAATGGTATTTTATATCATATGTACGTCAATTGCACTTAAAAAAAAAAGAGAAAGAAAGAAATTACAACGTAAATGTACGAAAACAATGGTATCGGAGTATTTTCACCTGTCTTAGTTTTGATTTCTGGTAATTACACTTAACACGTCACAAATTAAGTTAAAACTCTCCGCACAGTGGTCAGATTCTGACACAGAATTCGACAAAATCCAATATGTAGTTATCATGAATATATGCTAAGAATGAAAAGAGTATTGCTTTCGAAAACATAAAATTGAGACAGTGGCCCATGGGCGAGAATATTTACGCTTCCTCAAAATTCATGTCTTGAATGTTGTAAATTAATGAAAATATATTGATAAGTATTGTGACACAACATTCAGCTCATTTTTAACTTCAGCTAACACACACACACACACACACACACACCACACACCACACACACACCGTTATATTGCTGGATTTTGCTGAAGGCGGCGTGAAACGTCACTCACTCACTCAGATTATTTAGAGATTATTTATTGTTAGAATATAACCCTGTCTGCAAAGTTATATACATCATATTTTGACACAATACATTCCCGTATGAAGGTGCAGACGTTTGGAATATCTAGCAAATATTATGTATGGTTTCCTTTGGCTCACGTAAGGGCTAGTTTGTACCTGGTTATGGTGCGAATGGTCCTAATACCACGGATCACGTTCAGCATAAATTTTCCGATTTTCGTAATCTTCTTTCATGAAATTAGTGTTGTGTATGAAGAAACAAAAGTCCCAAATGTATTTTAACAGAGGTTCTAAAGCACAGTTCTGCGTGAGCACAGGACCCAACAGCAATAATGAACACATTAAAAGGTGAAATCTCAATCATTTTTTAATTAATCGCCTCCTTGTATAATACCGAAGATGATTAGCATTTTTAGTCAAGGTTTCCAGGTTAATCTAAACGTATTCAATGACTAAAAGTATCAATGTTCCAGACGGTGATTCCTTAAACATCAGCGGGGGTTCTGCAGAGGGTTTAGGTCAAGTCTCCCTCATCCACAGAGACAAAGTGTTGCACAGTTCTACAATACAAAACAACACGTATGTGTGTAGCTTCAAGTCTAACCTCAATACTGAAAGCATATCAGTGTACGTCCTTGATGCGAGGTTGGGACAAGGAACTCCAGGGCAATGCTTATCACAGCTATCTGTCCTGCATGAGAGCTACATCTCAACAAGTAATTGTTCAACAGAGTTCCAACCGTTTGAGAGACTGGACGTAGCACTGGAATCCCTCCTACACATTTACTCCAAAGATATCCCAAGGCTGTCTTCGGGATTAATTTGGCTTCTGGTCAATGGTAAGAAAGTACAGGGACATCATGTATGCTGTTATATACACAGTGTATAAATGACTTCAGTGAATGTCATATAGTAATTATTGTACACAAACCGGAATATTTCATTTCCGTGAATGGTCACTATATTTTCGAGTACAATTCATTGGTCCTTACAGAATAAGATCATACCTGTCAAGGAGAATGCTCATTGGCCAGAAGAAAAGTTTCAGCGTGTTTGAGGCCGCACTGTACCATCCGCTGTTATTTTTCTCTCTTTTGTTGTTTTTTGTTGCTGTTTGGGGTTTTATTGAATTGCGATTAGAGTTATAGATGTTTAGCTATATCATAACCAACCTATATGTTACAAACAACTTGTTATGTTATTTTCAGCATCAGAACCCTTTAATGTGACGTGTGAAACTGTGGAACAGACGACCATTGGTAGGCAACCACTACATATTTCCATTCTATTTTGCCCATGTATCCCTTCTTGTATGATCCAGTGTCCTTGTAATTGTTGTATCAGAGCTAAGCCACCGTGTGTCTCTGATCAAACAGGTACAATCACCGTGACAACACTCAACCATGTTTCCTTTACAGGTTACAGCATATTATCAGGTTTGATTCTTGTTCAAATTTTGGTTTCGATAGCACGCATCACCAAGTGTGAGAGCTTGACTATCCTATTCCGTGGGTCACCTCTTATGACAAGCATAAGTTGCTGAAGAACGATTGTAACGTGTTCCTTCAAGCGTAATATCATCAGGTGATGCAAAATGGATACGTTTATAGTAGTGCAGTGATACTTGGGCGGACTAAAGCATGAAACTTTGCAAAGTGCTGGGGAATATCATGATAAAACATAATTTTCGGGGGTGCCCTGTATTTTGGGCCCATTCCGAAAAAATCCAAGATGGAATTCAAGATGGCCTCCAAAAATAAAGGATTTCCCGTTCTAACACTATATGACTTTCCCCCTCTGGATTATAGCAGAAAAACTTACACAGTGCAAGGGAACATCATGTTAAAACATATTTTTGGGCCCGATCTTTGGGGCCCATTTTAAGAAAAATTCAATTTGGCGTCCAAGATGGCCACCAGAAATCAAGGATTTCCAATTCTGTCACAATGTGACTTTTCTCCGCTGGATTATAACAGACAACCTTGTACAGCGCTGGGGAACATCATGATAAAACATACTTTGGGGGGGCCTATTTTCCCAAAAAATCCAAGACGGACGCCAAAATCTAAGAGTTCTAAAGTCCACCCAAAATGGTCGCCAACAATCTTCATTTGTTGCAGTATGTTAGATATATTCGTCGTTCAAAGGGCTATTTCGAATACTTTCCAGAAATCTAACAAACAAGATGTATGTTTAGTAGAAAATAAATTTGCATCATTCAATAAGAGAAACGTTACTGTTTTGATCTGTCACATGACATCATTTAAACATCGATTTCTGTGATTCTCCTTTAACAGTTCTCATTGCAGTTACAGAGCGATGTGCATAGAAGTTGAGAAGATTTACAAATGCACTTCTTTGCGCATAGAAGATGAAACTTGCAGCCACATTTGATAATGTTGTTGATAATGGTACCAGCGGAAAACCTATTTCAATAGACACTATTTCAAGCTCTTCCAAACCTACACTTCCAGGCAGTTACTGTATAGTTCCTGCAGTAGCCTGCAATGTGGAGAGAGAGTTAATGTGCCTGGAACACATCATCAAGTCGAGGACAACATCACCAAAGCTAAAGAAGACTCTTGGATCAAGCACTGCATTGACCATCATGCTAAAGAACATTTGGAAAAGGATGAGTTTATAGGCCTGGTGCATTTCATGCTTCTCGTCAATCCCAGGAACAGGTTGCAGCAAGAATAATTTCTCTCCGTCCTCTCTTTAAGGACAAAGCAACAAGTCTAGCGTCAAGACCGTCACAGAACAATGCAATCCAGGACAACTCCCAGTCATGGCTGTAGACCACTTTTTGCGCTGACAAAGTCCATTTTCAATGGAGATGGACTAATGTGACTAGACGTGTACACTATCATGCTTGGAGGTCTTCACATTGAAATAGCTTTATGGAACATGGTTGGAGACTTGTTGGAAGATTCTGGTGGACTTCAGCAACTAACAGAAGCGGGTATTGCCTCAAGTGGAACAGCTGAATGTTTCATTTCGGCGTCTCATTTTACAAAGACATGCTCATCTGTACGTCGAGGTAATGGAACAACTTGTCCCTTAATTTATTTGCTCTTGATCACACCAACTATGCACGCTGGCTGCCTGTTCACATCAGAGATATGAAAGCCCTTCCTGTTGACAGAAGAGCGTACCTCAGAGAGGTTGGGTTTTCCCCAAAACATCACACACATCTTCTGCCATGCTTTTTAGATCAAGCTCATGACAGATTTTCTGCCATGCTTTCGGATCAAGCTCATGAACAAAACAGCACAGTTGTAAAACACTCAGGTGGTGCAGTTGGATTAACAGAAACTGTTGCCTTAACTAGATGGACAATATCTGGACCAGAACAAGCATGAATTATGCAAGAGTTTGAGATGCAAGATGACAAGATGGATACAAGAAGCAATTAAAGATTTTGCTACACAGCAGACATTTAAGACTCAAGTCAACAACTTATGTCAAGAAAACTCACCTCCTTTTCTCAAGCGACCACAAACAAAACCTCAGTCTAAATCAAGCAGCAAACATTTATTGGCAGGTACGTCAATCTGATTTAAATAAATTCTTTTCTCATGAAAACCACCGGTGGCCACCATCCGTTTGACTGTCGAGACAACACGCAAAAAGCGAAGAAAAGCAGTAGCAGAAAGGTTTCCCGTGATACTAGACTACCTGTGATCTTCGCTTCTTTTCTAAAAGAATCAAAGGGCAAAGAAGAACTCTTTGCATTCTTAACAGATGGTATGGCAGAGTTTGTTCGACTTAATCATGGTCACATTCCACCACTGGCTTGTTAAAACAACGAAAAAAGGCAATATTTTAGATTATTTCCATCGGTCGAAGTGAGAGGCAGGTGCTGTAAATTCTAGCAAACTACGGCAAATTGTAATAACTGGTGCGATAGATTGTAATAACATCTCTGATTCCTTCTAATTTCCAAAGAAAGTCGAATTCTAGTGTTTGTTCGACTTAATCATGGTCACATTTCACCACTGGCATGTTAAAAGAACGAAAAAAAGCCAAACAATGGAATTCGACTTTATTTGGAAATGAGAAGGAATCAGATATGTTACTACATTTTACCGCGCTTGTTATTACAATTTGCCGCAGTTTGTTAGAATTTACGGCACCTGTGTCTCAGTTCGAATGATGGAAATAGCCTAAACTATTTCCCTTTTTTTCATACATTTAACATCCCATTGATGGGATCTGACCATAATGAAGCCAAACGAACAATGGAATTCGACTTTCTTTGGAAATGAGAAGGAAACAGAGATGTTATTACATTTTACCACGCTTGTTATTACAATTTGCAGCAGTTTGTTAGAATTTACAGCACCTGCCTCACACTTCGACAGATGGAAATAATCCGAAATATTTCCTTTTTTCGTTAGATTTAACAAGCCAGTGGTAGAATGTGACCATGATTAAGTCGAACAAACTCTGAAATTCGACTTTCTTTGGAAATTAGAAGGAAGCAGAGATGTAATTACAATTTTCCGCACCAGTTATTACAATTTGCCGCAGTTTGTTGCAATTTACAGCACCTGTCTCTCAGTTTGAATAATAGAAATAATCCAAAATATTGCCTTTTTTCGTTCTTTTGACAAGCCAGAGGTGGAATGTGACCATGATTAATTAAGTCGAAGAAACTCTGAAATTGGACTTTCTTTGGAAATTAGAAGGAATCAGAGATGTTATTACAATTTACCGCACCAGTTATTACAATTTGCCGCAGTTTGTTGCAATTTACGGCACCTGTGTCTCAGCTCGAATGATAGAAATAATCCAAAATATTGCCATTTTTCGTTGTTTTAACAAGCCAGCGGTGGAATGTGACCATGAATAATTAAGTCGAAGAAACTCTGAAATTGGACTTTCTTTGGAAATTAGAAGGAATCAGAGATGTTATACAATTTACCGCACCAGTTATTACAATTTGCAGCAGTTTGTTGCAATTTGCGGCACCTGTGTCTCAGTTCGAATGATAGAAATAGCCCAAAACATTTCCGTTTTTCTCATTCATTTAACATCCCAGTGATGGGATCTGACCATAATGAAGCCAGGAAAACACTGGAATTCGACTTTCTTTGGAAATTAGAAGGAATAAGAGATGTTATTACAATTTACCGCACCAATTATTACAATTTGCCGCAGTTTGTTGCAATTTGCGGCACCTGTGTCTCAGTTCGAATGATAGAAATAGCCGAAAATATTTCCGTTTTTTTCATTCATTTAACATCCCAGTGATGGGATTTGACGTTGCTGAAGCTGGACAAACACTGAAATTCGACTTTCTTTGGAAATTAGAAGGAATCAGAGATGTTATTACATTTTACCGCACCAGTTATTACAATTTGCAGCAGTTTATTACAGTTGACCGCGCTTGTTATTACAATTTGCCGCAGTTTGTTAGAATTTACAGCACCTGTGTCCCACTTCGAATCATGGAAATAGTTCAAAATATTTCCGTTTTTTTCATTCATTTAACATCCCATTGATGGGATCTGACCATAATGGAGCCAAACAAACAATGGAATTCGACTTTATTTCGAAATTAGAAGGAATCAGAAATGTTATTACATTTTACCGCACCAATTATTACAATTTGCCGCAGTTTGTTGCAATTTACGGCACCTGTGTCTCAGTTCGAATGATGGAAATAGCCTAAAATATTTCCTTTTTTTTTCATTCACTTAACATCCCAGTGATGGAATCTGACCATAATGAAGCCAGAAAAACACTGGAATTCGACTTTCTTTGGAAATTAGAAGGAATAAGAGATGTTATTACAATTTACCGCACCAGTTATTACAATTTGCCGCAGTTTGTTGCAATTTGCGGCACCTGTGTCTCAGTTCGAATGATAGAAATAGCCGAAAATATTTCCGTTTTTTTCATTCATTTAACATCCCAGTGATGGGATTTGACGTCGCTGAAGCTGGACAAACACTGAAATTCGACTTTCTTTGGAAATTAGAAGGAATCAGAGATGTTATTACAATTTACCGCACCAGTTATTACAATTTGCCGCAGTTTGTTGCAATTTACGGCACCTGTCTCTGAGTTCGAATGATAGAAATAGCCTAAAATATTTCCGTTTTTTTCATTCTTTTAACAAGCCAGTGGTGGAATGTGACCATGATTAAGTCGAACAAACTCTGAAATTGGACTTTTAAGAAGGAATCAAGATGTTATTACCCGCACCAGTTATTACAATTTGCCGTTTGTTGCAATTTACGGCACCTGTGTCTCAGCTCATGATTTAAAATATTGCCATTAACAAGCCACGGTGGAATGTGACCATGAATAATTGACTCTGAAATTGGACTTTCTTTGGAAATTAGAAGGAATCAGAGATGTTATTACAATTTACCGCACCAGTTATTACAATTTGCAGCAGTTTGTTGCAATTTACGGCACCTGTGTCTCAGCTCGAATCCCATGATGAAATAATGAAGCAAAATATTTTTCCATTTTTCATTCATTTAACATCCCAGTTTGATGGGATCTGACCATAATTTAACATCCCAGTGATGGATTTGACGTTGCTGAAACAAACACTGAAATTCGACTTTTCTTTGGAAATTAGAAGGAATCAGAGATGTTATTACATTTTACCGCACCAGTTATTACAATTTGCAGCAGCAGTTTGTTATTACAATTTGCCGCAATTTACGGCACCTGCCTCTCAGTTCGAATAATGGAGCCATAGAAATAATCCAAAATTATTTCCGCAGTTTGTTAGAATTTACGGCTCCTGCTCAGTTCGAATCATCGAAATAATCCAAATTATTTCCCTTTTTTCATTCATTTAACATCCCATTGATGGGATCTGACCACGCTGAAGCTAGACAAACACTGGAATTCGACTTTCTTTGGAAATTAGAAGGATTCAGAGATGTTATTACAATTTGCCGCACCAGTTATTACAATTTTCCTCAGTTTATTACAATTTACCGCACTCGTTATTACAATTTGCCGCAGTTTGTTACCGTTTTCGGTTAATGCCGATGTTTTCAAAGTCCGGGTTTTGAATTTTATAAAGCTTAGCCTCACATTTTAACATGATGAAGATTTCCTTGCATAATAGGAAATGAAATGTATTTTATTACATATTACCGCAGAGGTTATTACAATTTACCGCAGCTTAAGTTATTACAATTTACCTAATGAATTACAATATAGAGAAGAATATAATCAATTAAAAACTAAATATAATGCATACAAATCTTTATTTACAGATGGGTCCAAGGATGGTGGCGCAGTTGCTTGTGCCACTGTCATTGGATCCAGAACAATATCTTCTCGATTACCAAATAACAGCTCTATTTTCACAGCAGAAGCTCACGCCCTATTAACAGTTCTTAGATATATTAATAACGCCGTAAATATAAACAATACATAATCTTTTCCGACTCTCTTTCGTGCCTTCAGGCGATTAAAAACCTTTAGTGTTGAATTGTATAATGAGCTTGCTACTGGCCAATTTGACATCGTCTTTTGTTGGCTACCCAGCCATGTTAGCATTTCTGTGAACACAATGGCCGATCTTGCTGCCAATCTGTGACACCAATTCTTATCCCATACTCTGATCCCATACTCCCATTCTTATCCCATTCTCCCATACAAAGCTAGCATTAGAACCTACATCCATGATCTGATGCAGAAGAAGTGGGACACCCAAGTAGGTATCAGTAAATTACATGAAATAAAACCTTATATTGGTTACACCTTGTCAGTCCAGATTTGAAGAGGTCATTATGCGACGGTGTCGCACTGGCCATACGCGTTATACTCACAAATACCTGTTAAAAGGTGAAGATCCTCCGTTTTGTATCCCTTGTGATGAGAGAGTCCTGCTTGACTGTGTTGTATTCTCTATCATAAGGGATACATATTTCAATTTAAAAACAGTCAAAGATCTTTTTACAAATCTTTACAGATCTTTATACTTGTTATTGTATAAATTGTTTTCGTCACGATATGGCTGAGATATTGCCGATGTGACGTTAAATATTAACTCACTCACTCACCCACAACAACTATGCAATTTCAATGATGTTTACGTTTAATGTAGGAAGTTACACACAAATGGATTATAGTATTGTCAGTAGTAAAAGATGAAATACGAAATTCCCAGTCGTTCCTCAGCCACTTGTTCAGTTGACATATTTCAGTTATATGAAGAGCTACGTTTGTGCGATAACTATATGCCTATTGGTATTACATGTGTTTGATATTGCAACATCCGACCCTTTTGATGTAAAGTGTGAACCAGTGGCCAGTACAAAAAAAGAACATGCTTTGTTCAGTAACCTGCTATGGAGCACATAAAGTGTTCAAAGTCAATGATCGATTAAACTTTCATTGCCACCTGCAACCTTTATTGAATATCTTGCAACCTTTATTGAAGATCTTACTCCTGTGGTGAGATAAAATGTGCTTTGTTGTGTTTTAATAGCTGATTAAATATGCTCATAACGCACTGTCTAATTTCTTATTCTATGTAAAGGCTTATATATTAGTGTGCTTTCTATCGTTTGTTTATACTTATTGCTGTACAAGAAAGCACATTTAGATGTGTCCACTTTTTCACAGGAGGAATCACCACTGAATCAACTAATGACAGGTCTCCTGCATCCACACCTTCAACAAAACCAAGTATGTAGTATTTACTTCATGATTCCTAACATTAATGTTTAACGGACAATTATGTATGCACTCTCTTGCAAAGCAGTCGAGTTGTAAATCCCCGAACATATATGGTACTGTGTATCTTGCCATGTCGTGAAATCCCACATACTTCATTGTAGTTATCACATAACATTCATGGTACTTATCACTAAAACTATGATGTGACAAGGCATGTTTTAAATAATTGTTGTGTTTTTTTGTGATTTACTCTAGTAGTATATACAGTAGCGGTACGAGATCAATTCCAACCAAAGACTCTGTAAAGCTTCATTAATGAAATAAAGCTTTTGTCAGGCTCTTATCTCTCTCCCCTATTGTATGTACCACTGTTTGAACCCCCAGTTAACTTCCTGGTCACTATGACCGCGAACCAACACTTTCCTGATCACGTGATGCTATTGTGATTGCCCTATGTCGTGTTGACCTCGAGGAAACAGTTTCATGTGAATAGCCTATGAGCTCTTTGGTCTTCGTGATGAAAGCTTGTTGGGCTTGTTGTATACCTTGTTCTATGTACTTTTTTTTCTCGGCTTAGCTGACGGTAGTCTTACGAGACTTGGTTCGAATCTCTTGTTTCATCTCATGGTACTTGGTGAGTTCAGAGAGGACCAAACGAAACTCCTCCTCCGAGATCTTGTTGTCTGTGAGTGCCGTGGAGATATGGCCCCTTACCGTGTTCAGCTTTGCTTCAGCTAGAACCCTGATCTCGTCGTGCTTCAATGCTTTACGATGCAGTCTGTGGGATGCAGTCTTGATCAATGTATTTGAGGCTTATAAGGCCTTGTAGCGCGTGTAGGTGAATAAAAGAAAGGTCAATAGGTAACTCTTGTTCTATTCTAATTTCATAGTTTTTATTAAGGGGGGCAGCAACCCGAGTGAGCGGTCCGAGCTCTGCCGTATGACGATACGACAATGGCTGCCCCTAAATGAAGTTATTGGCCAATCTATTCTCACCCCAGGTAAAAGTCGCCAGGAGCCTGGAGGCATAACCATAGAATATGGTAGGCCAGCGTATAATTTAAATAATAAATGTGTATCCTCGGTTACATCTAACATGTAGCCTGGGCGATGTGGTATTTGGGAAACTCTTATACTCTGAGGGCCCGGGGGGATGAAACCCCCGAGCAAGATACCATTGTTCTTAATTTCGGTGATATGACTAGTGATAGGACCATCCTTGGGAAAAGAGACGTAAGGTGTGGTGAGGGTCCTGTTGATCAACCATTCGGGCTCTCTAAAGTCGTCTTCCAGAAGCACCCGCACGTACACGTCACCTCTTAAGTGCAGGGCGTATGAGGTGCCGTTCACGCCAGGCCGATCGAATCCCTCTATGCCTCCTAGGTCCCCGAGTGTGATGTTGGGCCAATGATCGGCCATTGCCGCCGCCTATACACGTTGTCTTTAAAGTGTAGGATGTACAAGGTGTCTTCCTCGCCGGGTAGATCAAACTCCTCCGTGTCCCTAGGTCATTAAGCGCGACGTTGGGCCGATGACTGGTCATTGTTATATTACTATCACGAGATAGTTTCCAATTCTTTTTCTGATAACTTCTCAGGGGTGCACTTCACCCCCATGAGGTGTATGTTGTCGGGTAGGAATATCTTAGTGAGTGATATCGTGTCTTCCAGGGTCACGGTGACCCCCCTGCAGACTGGTGTGGGAGTCGACACCCACCCACACGTAAACAGTGCAAACCTGATACTGGTGTTGTTTCACCCACTGGAGTTTGATCCCCTTCACGACTTCGACTTCGCGCTGTGGTTCACCTAGGTAGACTTGGATGGCCAGCATGGAGTTCGCCGGTAGACTCCCCAGGATGTTGGCCACACCTTCGAATTCAGACACCACCTGCAATGTCACGTTTTGCGTCCCGGGCTTACTCGATAGCATGTGGGCTGCCATACTGGAGAGTGGGCTGATGACTACGCTACGCCTCTGCGTCTGGATGTAAGCCACGAGCAGGGTTCCGTTGTTCACGACTTTGTTTAGGTAGTTGTCTTTGTTCTCCGTGAACACGTTGGGGGAGCCGAGACTAATGTTGAGAAACCAATCCACTCGAGAGGGTAACAACACCCACTTGTCGTCGTCGGTGAAAACGAGCGTATATGGCTTGTTTCGAGCAACGGTCGTGCTCTCGACCATCTATCATCAGCGATGCGGACTTAGTCGAGCCGAGTGTTGAGGACCGCTCCTGATGTATCGACTATATCACCTAGGGTTCTACCGGAAGGGACTTCAATGCGTTTGTAAATGCTGTTTTTAAGCTGCAAGGCGTATAGTTTACCATCTACTCCAGGGTCGTCGAATCCGCGTGTGTCCCCGAGGTCGGAGATCCCCACATTGACACATTTTTTTCAACTTCATTCCGGGACCTTGTGCGCTAGTCATTTTATGTGCAGCGTTATGCTGAGGTATCCTATATTCACAGGATTATGCTTTATATCTAAAACCGATATTACCAACTCAGGGATGGTGCTCCGAGTTAACCTCTTGTACTGCCGCGGTGAAAACGACTCAGTTCTGCCATCGTTGTTTTTCTCCGTTTTCACCGGTACGGCCCTCAGTATCGTGGAAGGGTGGCCACCTTGAATGTTGTCCGTTGTGCTCATCTGACCGAGATGAATGCACAGCTCTCGGTACGGTACTAGGTCGGGTAACTTCGTGCCTGTGACGGTAGTTGTGGGTTTTATCTCGTCCGGAGACATCCCGAGTGTCCTCGCCAATGGTCGGCCGAGCCTCAAGGGGTTTATTCCGTTGTTGGAATGTGCCATTTGAGTCGTTCATCTTGAGTTTGGCTCCCAAGGGTTTGAAGACCTCATCACTTAGCAAGCACACGCTGTAGTAGCCGTCGATTATCTGGTTGCAGGCGCCACTGACGAACAGCTTATTGTTGCTGGCGTTGATGTTGGTCCATCGCGGTAGGTAGGTGATATCGCAGAGTGCGACTTCGAGTTGGCCCAACGTGTTATCGATCGCGCGCATCAGCTGAACGGACTCACCGCTCGTTATTCCTGGAAGTGCTACATACATGTTAGAGTATATATACCCATTATATAATACTTTAAAAATGTACAAACCGGGAGTGTTTTACCCTAAACTGGACATAGATTTCCCACACATGAAGATCGTGGTCGCGGCTGGGTTGTATTTCGGAGCCCAGTTCATAGATGTGTTTGACGTGTATAGGTTTTCGGTGACTAACGCCAAGGTTGTCCACGCTTGGTTCACGAACGCGTTTGCAATGAATTCGAACTAGACCCAAAGACGGATTGGCGTTTGCCGGGGCCGAACCACGGGTTGGGGATCCCCATCGTTCACAACATGCCCCTCATGGAAGCCAGCGAAAAGATGAAAGAATGGGGGTACAAGTCGTATCATCACATCACGAGTCTGGAGGTTTGAGAAGGGCTGGAGGTTTGACCCGCGGATGACTGGAAAAAGTTCATGTTGGACACGTTGGGAGGGTTCACTCGTGCCGGTGTAACCAGATTGAACGACTCGATTCGAACGTACATCTGGGCGCTGTTGGGTGCGCAGACGCAAACGCTTTCCAACATCCTCGGTAAAGGGACTGCTTACGACGCTCAGAAACAGATCGTTGTTAACGTCGAGGATGCTATCAATGCTCCAGTTGATCTACCGAGTGCTATCCGACGCTACCAAAACGTATTGGAATAGGCCCGGTCGAAAGTCGACTACGTGTTCGACGTGGGATTGTACATGGCTCTGAGCGATATGCAATTGAGAGTCAAAAAAGTGGTGGGCTACATCAACGAAATAGTCATAGCCACGGCCGACCAGAAGTTGGGTGTCAATGCAGGCATCAACGTGAGTCACGTCCCACCTCCCACGGGTGGTGTCACCGCCGAAGCCCAGGGTTCAACCCACACCACCACAGCCCCTGCCACCACACCGGGTGGCTGAAAATCAACAGCATATCAGCCGTAAAACAGCGCTGGTTGTCAGGGGGATAGTGGTCGGCTTGGGTCTCACTTGGTTCAAGATTCCTTAGCCGCGACGTACACCGACCACGGCAACGATGGCTGCCCACAGGTTTTGTCCGAGCCACGTGACAGTTTTAGCCAGCATGCTCAGCAGCCACGAGACGATGCTACCCAGGATGCCGGGCAGGGCCTCGGCGGCCTTACCAGCAAGTTTAGCTAGGGCTTCACCGAGTGATTTCAGATGTTTTTTTACCCAGTCTCTGACGTCGCCTGATGGGCTTGGCGTTTGAGTTGGGGGACACCCTCTCAGCGATACGACCAGGGTTGATATGATGAAGCCCTATGCCATCAGAATGCTGGCGATGGTGATCCCTTGCTCTCGGAAGAGGATTCGGATCCTGTCAGCTAGCGTGGTGTCCTGGTAGAGTACTCGATCGATGGTTTCCCGCCACGGCTGATCTGGGATCGAAGCTGCTCTCGGAAGGAGGACGCCGCTTCCGACCGGGTCGACCTTTCCTCTTCCAAATTACGTATTCGTTCCTCGATGGCGGCTTTCAGAGACTCATCAGCCTGACTGAGTTTGGTTCTTTCACGGGTTCATGGATCACGTCCAGTTTGGCTGTGTTGTCCACGAGTGACCCACGAATGGTTTGCCTGGCCTTGTCCAGCCCCCGCAGTTCCCGAACGGTAAATTCGAACCCGGGTAAGGGTTTTTTATGGAACTTATCCAACAGTTTTTCGAGGGCTTTGGGGCTCATCGTCGAGTTCGGCCCTGGTAACTTGCAGATCTTGGGTGACCTTCGGTGGAAGTTGTTTGGGCTGTGCGCCACCATAACCTAGCATGTTTAATTCTTCACGGATCAGTTTCCTCCCACTACGGAGATTGGCTAGCGTAGACAAGGCAAACGGTTCTCTCATGTGTTTGTGCATGAGATCGATCTCTGGATGAGCCTTCAATCGCAGCGGGCCATTCTCAATGAGGGTGAACTTGGAATAGTCTCGTCTCGTGAATGAGGTTTCCTC